GCGGCCATACCGGCCAACGAGCTAAAACACTCGTTCGACATGCTTTTGGATCGCGCAAAAAGCTGTATTGCAGCAGAAGGAGACTATTTTGAATAAAAATTGATTTTGCCGAAAAAACCATTTGTTCTGTTTTTTTTTTTAAAGTCCTGTTTACTTTGGAACACACCTTCAGCTTGTGATTCACTCACACTGATTTTAATCGGGGTAGCTGGATGCTTTCGCTTTTAGCGATAGCTTGTAGCTTGGTAAAAGTTCGAAGGACGTTTTAGAATTTATTAGCAAATATTGATGTTTATTCATGTTTGCCTCTGAGAAATAATATGACCTTGTCGATGCATGGTGGGGCCTTCTGACTTTTTTCGTTGCAAAATCATATCTCCTGAACAGATGAAGTAAATTTCGTCAAACAAATTTTATTTGAAAGAAAAATTCTTAGGTTTTAAAGCAAGTCATTGCGCATTGTGCTATAATTTCTAGGAGCTGCATAATATGTGCTCAAAGTTGAATTTAGTTTCCGGTGCAATATTTTCCTAGACTATTGCGCTGCACCAAAACTATGGATAATATATACTAATTCTATACGTATACCTTGGATAACAAACTAAAACCCCTATCTGTCTGTTCAAATACTTTAAACCAAAAAAATACAATTTAGAAAAGGGTCAAAAAGATTGCATGCTCTACACCTTATAATTTAAATTACACTACCTGTTATTAAACATTTGGGTTACACAATATTAAATGTTGGTCAATTCGGAAATTTTTGTAACCATAAGGCAAAATACAATTTTCGTAATAGCTGTTACATTGAATCTACCTGTTCTTATACCCGGGTAGCGCTGATGAAATATGGCCATACATGACATATGTTTATACATCAAAGTAGCGATCTGGTAACTTACTCTCTACGTGTATGAGTTGCCTCATTCTTAGTGCAGTTCACCTTACGCCTTCGCCTTTTAAAGTAATGAAACATTATTCACTTTAGTATACTCACTTATGACTTTATATCTGAACACACTGGCGCGACTCCGCCAACAAGCGCCTTTTTTGCTGATTTTTTTCGAAGTTGCGTTTTAATGCTTTAAAGGCCAAAGTCGGATCAAGACGCATGAAAGTTTTTACAGTTACGTAAAGGGATATATTGGGAACATATTTTGAAAATATGAGACAGGTAATGAGGTGTAAAGTTGAAAATTACCCTAAAAATAGGTAGTTTGCAGAAAATCATTTTCTAGAGAACTACAAATGCAAAAGACATATTTTTAATTAAATAATGCATAAAATTAATACTCCTAACAATTCAAAACATCAATCATTCGTAGCATAATGTAGTTAATATAATACCAGAAAGATTCAGTATTTTGATTTACGCAAGCTGTTTCGGCCTAAGGCCACACAGTGCGACGCCAGCTTTGATAGACATTTGATTTATTGGAATGTTGCATGATCGTAAAGCAGAAGCAGCAGATTCGTCGCTTTTTGGCAGCTCAGTAATTCTTCGTCGCTTTGTTCTTTTGGAAGGCTCACTAAAATCACCTTACGTCCACGCTTGGCACTTTTACTGATTCTTTGAGGTATACTCTCCGTGCGTTTTATTGAAATATTTTCTTTTGCATTTAGCCAATAAGATTTTTTTTTGAAGTATGGTTACTTTCTTACGTTTATACTGAATCTAAAATGATGAAATTTTTTTCACATATGTATCCAATACACTTCGTGAGCTCGCTCATCTCGGGTTCAAAGCCGATATCTTCAATATTGCTTTGCAAATGGTCGATCGCCTACTGTAATTTTTCTACATTGGTACCCATTTCTGTTCACCAACGATTGAAAATTTATAATCCTGTAAAGACAAACTAATAAGAGTCGCCTTTTAAAATCAACTTTAAAAAAAGGCATTAGGAATTATTATTTTAACTTAATAAGTATACAAAACACGAAAGAAGGTAACACAGACAAAGCACAAACACAAGACAAAACAACCGCTTTTCAAGGCAAATTTGACCTTTAAAACAAAAAAACGTCGTTAGTATACTGTTGTGATTATGCACAGCTCTGCAAATATCTGCAGCTAACGTAAACTGTTTTATTATTTTAATACTGTTTTATTATCAAATACACTAAAGAAGATCGAAATCTGGGAATGGGGGGGAACACAACTAAAAGTTTAAGTAAACATAATGAAGACACACACAAAATGAACAAAAAAGTAGGGTCAACAATAAAAAATAAAATAACTTTATTAATTAATAAACTGATCACTTTAAGGTTTGCACTTGTTGTAAAAAATTCTCCCAGCCTACAGCTGCGCACTAAAATTTCAGAAAAAACTGGTTTGCACTAGAAAAGCTTGGACATTTTAGAGACAGTTTGCTTACTGTTTGTCAATTTTTTTTCGCATGCATTTTTTGAATGGTGGCCTATGGGCGGAACCACTGTGCAGCACCATATCAGCAGGGTCTTTTATCTTATTTCTGATTATATCTAGCACTTGATAATTTTTCGAACTACCTGTCAATACGGTCACGCTCGAACTCGGAATATGAAACACGGCACTCGTGTCAATGCCGCGATGAGCCACGATCAAAAAGCACTGACAATGCCCATCTCAATTTCCTATCGATCGTTATTAAATATTAAAATACTAATTCAAGCTTAATCACTAATTTAAGAATTTACAATTTAAAAACCAAATTTGAAGTTGATTGGTGGAAAAATGCGGATTTTTCAAACAAACTTTGGAGCTCATTTTCCCCACTTGGAGCTCGAATCTACAAAAATCCCTTCTTAGTGCTAACCTACACTATGATGGGATACTTGAGCTGAAATTTTAACTTCCTAGCTCTTACCGTTTGGGCTGTGGGGGGTTGATTGTGTTTCAAATTTTTCCACGGAAAAACATCCTTTCATACCCCAGGAAAAATGGTGAAAAACCAAGTATGCAGTCTTTTTTGAATTCTTTTATAGATTACACGAACCCAATTTGAAGCTAATCAAATAAAATTTGCAGATTTTTCATACAATCTTTGGTGCCCGCTTTACCCCGGCGTTCGAATTTTCCAAAGTCGCTTCTTATTGCTCACCTACACCATAGAAGACAACAAATTTCAGCTGGAGGGGAATTCCAAAAAACACATTTTCTTTGTATTCACATAAGGCATCTTGGACTTCAAATTTGATGTCCCTACGTGTTAAAGTCGCCGAGATAACGATTCTACGAATGGCTTTACTTTTTATAGCCTGTACCCAATGGGTGAAAGGCTATACTAGTTTTGTGCGAATGTATGTAACAGGCAAAAGGAGGCGTGGCAGACCCATCAAAGTATATTGTATTTGTATATTCTTGATCAGGATGACAAGCCGAGTCGATATAGCAATGTCCGTCTGTATGATCGCAAGGATCTCACAAGGTACAAGAGCTAGAATGACCAAACTTGGTATCCAGGTTCCCCTCAGCACTAGGCAAGGCTGTATCCGTATGCCAAGTTTCATCAGGATTGGTCATTTCGTTTTTTCCTTATTCGTGGCAGGTACAGGGTATTTAAGAGTTGAGCCCCCTCGACTTTAGCATTCCTTTCTTGTTTTTTTTTTTTTAATTTCCCTCCCTCCCCCTCTCCCGTGGAATCAGTGATCTTCCATAACTCCAGTAGTTCTTGGAATTTCAAATTTGGCAAATATCCCCAGTTAGTGATTATGTGTCCGTATCCCGAGTTTCATTATAATAGACCAATTTAACAGGAAGTTATAACCATAAATATATTTGCTGCACAAGCGCTGTCCGCAGCTGTTGTTCATGTTGGTGCTTTTGTTGACTGCAAACATGCTCACACAGACACGAATAGACACGCATAAACATGCATACACTCATATGGACGCAATTTCCATGTAAATGTGCAAATATACACCCTTTACGTGAGTGGTAAAATCAATCAACATTTTTTTAAATTTTCGTAATTTTCTAAAGTTCTATAATTATTCTAAACACATGTATAGATTATTTCAAAGTCAGGACACCCGACTTTAGCTTCTCTACTTGTTTTTATATATTAGGTTTGCGGGAGCTGAAAAATGTAACAGGCAGAAGGAGGCGTGGCATACCCCACAAAGTATATATATTTTTGATCAGCATGACGAGACGAGTCGATCTAGCCCTGTCTGTCTGTCCGTCCGTATGAACACCTGGATCTCAGAGACTATAAGTGATAGACACCAAATTTTGCACAAAGATGCCTTATGTGTATATTCTATACGAGTTTGTTTTATTTTTTGATTTTCCCCCCACTTCCCCCCTATGGGGGTTTTCCCGATTTTCAATTCGTATAATCGCCTGTATCTCGGAGACTATAAGACCTGGGGACACCAAATTTTAGTCCAAGATGCCTTATGTGAATACGCAGAAAATGTATATTTTGGAATTTCCCTCCCTCCCCCTCTCCCATGCAAATCTCTAACTCCCGTAATTCTTGGAATTTCGAACTAAAATACCCCCAGTTAGTTATTATGTGTATGCCAAGTTTGACTATGATAGACCGATTTAACAAGAAGTTATAGCCATAAATATATTTGTTGCTGCATAAATATATTTGCTGCTGCCCGCGGCTGTTGTTGATGTTGCTGTTTGGTTTACTGCGAACATGTTTACACAGACACGAATAGATGCGCATAGGCATTCATACACTCACACAGACGTAATTGCTATGTAAATGTGCAATTATACACCCTTTACGTGAGTTCGAATACCGAAAGAGGTAAAATCGATCCAAATTTTTTTTTAATTTTCTTAATTTTTTTAAATTTCTATAATTATTTTAAATACAGAAATTCGGAGTATTTCAAAGTCGAGACACCCGACTTAAGCTTTTTTACTTGTTTTCAATTACATCTAAACATGTAGTTTTTATCAATCATTTTAACATAGAATTTCTGATACTTTGTAAAAAGAATTTGAATCAAATTAATCTTTTTTTAAAATGTGCATATGTACAATTCGTTGGCAGGAACGCAAAGAATGTGGTAAGAGAGGTCGAAAGCCAGGAAAAAAAACATCTACCGAAAAGATAGATATAAAGGCGAAGTTAGGTAAAATATTTGTATGCATTTTTATATAAACATGTTAATAATCTGTTTCAAACACTTTCAGAGCGTAGCAGGCAAAGTGCAAGAGAATGTCGAGCTCGGAAAAAATTACGCTACCAATATCTAGAAGAGCTAGTTGCGGATAGGGAAAAGGCCGTTATTACGCTACGGACTGAACTGGAGCGTGTGTGTTATGAATATAATTGAAACTTAAAATCAGTAAATTTTGACTACATGTAATTCCAGTACATGCTATGGAGTGAGAATTTAACGGAGAACAGCACATCGAATAATTTAGATCAACTGCTCGAAGAAATTGGCATTCTTAAACAAGAAATAATTTCTTAGGCTACAAAGATTTGGAATTACTAAACTTACACAATAATCTAAAAACACATTCTTATTTTTTGCTTTTTTAATTTTAGATTTCTTATGTTTAATAAATAAATAAATAAATATTCAAGAATCAGTTTTGGAAAACTTAAACTTAGGGCGGAAACGGGCACCAACGCATGTATGGAATCTGCGGTCAAAAATACTTATATTGAAGCTATAGTACTGTAACTTTTGTTAAAAGCTTATATCTGCAGTACGATGAGATCGTCATGATCGGGCGATCTGACCGATTGTAATATTGTAATAAATCATTAAATGGTCCTATTGCTTTGACATGTTAAACACATAAAATATTAAAACAGGTAGAGAAGCTAAAGTCGGGTGTCCCGCCTTTGATATACTCTGTACATATTATAGAATAATAAGTAAACAACAGTCTACAAGTGCTACAGTCGAGCAAGTGCGACAGTAAAATAGCCTGTACTCTCCACAAAAAGCCACGATGATGTAAATGTATGCTTTTCAAACTGTATGTATGTATTAAATAAATTTTATTTAATTTAATTATATAATTCAATTTTTTTTTAATAATTTAATTTTTTATAGCCTGTACCCAAAAAGTATATATATATATATATATCTATACTAGTTTTGTACGAATGTATGTAAGACACAGAGGGAGTCGTCGAAGACCACGCAAAGTATATATATTTGTGATGAGGATGACAAGACGAGTCGATATAGCCATGTCCGTCCATGTGCTGATGTAAATGTATGCTATTGAAATTGTACATTAACACTTACTATTGTATATTGGCATGCGTTAAATAATTTATATTTAATTTAGTTAATTAATTTACCTAATTAAATTTAAACAAGTGGAGAAGCTAAAGTCGGGTGTCCCGACTTTGAAATACTCTGTACATATGTGTAGAATAATTAAGGAAAATAAAAAATTTTTAAAAAAACAAGCGAGAACGCTACAGTCGAGCAAGTGCGACAGTAAAATACCCTGTACTCTCTACAAATAAACAACAATTTTAACAAAAAAGAAACAATTCTAACACAAATTATTATGTACTAAAAAGTAAACAAATAATTGTGTATATCTTCCACAATAATGTAGGTAGAATTATTGCTATTTTTGGAGTCGGTGTCAGCCAACGAAACACTAGCAATAACAATATGAGAATACTTACAGAAATATCTTTTTAAAAATTAGCTTTTATAACTTATTAAACCCAATTCCAAATTAACAAATATGACAATATACGTATACCAATAATTCTACCTACATTATTGTAGATGATATACACAATTATTTGTCTACTTTTTATAGCCTGTACCCAAAGGCTGAAAGGCTATACTAGTTTTGTGCGAATGTATGTAACACACAGAAGGAGGCGTGCCAGACCCCACAAAGTATATGGGCATGTCTCTAGAAATGTCAACCGCAGCCAAAAAATTAAAAGTCTGTAAAAGTATGATGTTTTAACATATTTGTATAGAGAATCTATCAAATTTAACTAATGTAATCAAATTTTACATTTATTCATAACATATTTCGAAAAGTTCAAATGCAAAGTCGAACAACTGCAAAAGTTAAGTTTTGAACACATCTGTTGCACGTTTTGTTTTGATTACTGTTCTTAATGAGAGACATTATGCATTGATATTTGCTCTATAAAATATTGGTTTATATTTAAGCAATATAAGAAAAATGTAAAAGGAACGATGTGATTACCAATTACGGTAAATTTTTAACTTTGCTTTAAGGTACTTATATTTGGATGTCGCGTGCGACATCGAAAAAGTACATTTGTTATCAGAGCGTCAAAGGTATTTGTCAAATATTAGCTGCAAACACAGTTTTTTTATACCCTGTACCCGTAGGGTAAAAAGGGTATATTAGGTTTGTGCAAAGTATGTAACATACAGAAGGAAGCATCTCCGACCCCATAAAGTATATATATTCTTGATCAGCATGACGAGAGAAATCGATCTAGACATGTCCGTCCGTCTGGATGAACGCGAGGATCTCAGAAACTATAAAAGCTAGAATAACCAAAGTTGGCATCCAGATTCTCCTAGGTCCGAGTAAGGACGAGTTTATTTTTTTTTTTAATTTTCCCCCCCTTCCCCCGCTGCAGAATTTCGTCAATAGCGTCCACATTTCAAATGCTACCTAAACCAAACATAATTTATATATAATTGTCTACTGTTGCTCAAAATTTTATTCAATTCGGTCAATTCTAAGAAAAGTTATTAGCAAAACAAATTCTCGCCAGTACAACCCCCCCAAACTGCAGCAACAAGTTCGCTCTTCTTCTTCCTCTTTTTGTTGCTGCTATGGGCGCATATAACTCAGTGACTCAGAGTTTACCTGGGTACAGGGTATTACACTGTCGGGCTTGCTCGACTGTAGCTTTCTCTCTTGTTTTAATTCAAATATTTTAAAAAATTTGCCGCAAAATAGTCAGCGCTTTGGTCGCAGAACCTATTTAGAGTTTGTCGCGTGCGACATCGTAAGTGCAAAATGTATAAATTAAAAAAAAAATCTAAAATAACCTTATTTATATATATACATACAAAATATCACTTTAAAAACGTATTTTTTTTTGTTTTAAACCTTTTATTCGAAATTAAAAGCTTGTGCGCCATCTTTTATGTCGGTATGTAGATATTGAATAACTTTGTCATTAGTAAACCGATTGACTTGAGTAGACCAGTGTTGAAAACCTCAGTTCAAGAAATTGTACAGAACCAAATTAAATAAAACTAGTAAAAAAGCTAAAGTCGGGTGTCCCGACTTTGAAATACTCTGTACATATGTTTACAATAATTATAGAAAATAAAAAAATTAAGAAAATAAAAAAAAAATTTGATCGATTTTACCTCTCTCGGTATTCGAACTCACGTATAATTGCACATTTACATAGCAATTGCGTCTGTGTGAGTGTATGTATGCCTATGCGTATCAATTCGTGTCTGTGTAAGCATTTTCGCAGTCAACTAAACAGCAACATCAACAACAGCCGCGGGCAGCGCTGCATCAGCAAATATATTTATGGCTATAACTTCTTGTTAAATCGGTCTATCATAATGAAATTTGGCATACGGACACATAATAACCAACTGGGGGTATTCCCAAAATTTTAGTTCGAAATTCCAAGAATTACGGGAGTTACGATTTGCGGGGTAGAGGGGGGAGGGAGGGGAATTCCAAAATATACATTTTCTGCGTATTCACATAAGGCATCTGGGACTAAAATTTGGTGTTCCTAGGTCTTATGGTCTCCGAGATATAGGCGATTATACGAATGGAAAATCGGGAAAACCCCCATAGGGGGGAAGTGGGGGGGAAAATCAAAAAAATAAAACAAACTCGTATAGAATACACACATAACGCATCTTTGTGCAAAATTTGGTGTCTCTATCTCTTATAGTCTCTGAGATCCAGGTGTTCATACGGACGGACAGACAGACAGACAGGGCTAGATCGACTCGTCTCGTCATGCTGATCAAGAATATATATACTTTGTGGGGTCTGCCACGCCTCCTTCTGCCTGTTACATTTTTCAGCTCCCGCAAACCTAATATACTCTTGTACATTTCATGTACAGAGTATAAATATCTCATACTTGAAAATCGGTTGTTTATTTTCAAGGATATTCAATGTTTGCATACCGACATAAAAGATGGCGGACCCTGTATGGGCAACATTTTAATATTTTCGAATGAAAGCTGCAGTCAATTCAAAAATAAATATATTTTGATAAGCTTGACTGACATAATTAAAGATATTGGATGCTTGTATATCGAATGGAATTTTTTTGCAAGTTCTCACGGGAAGGGAGCAGTTGATGGACTTGGTGCCGTAATTAAAAGAAAAGTGTGGCAAATAACCAAATCGAAAAACATTGTTTTAGAGGATGCTCTTTCGTCTTATCAATGTGCAGAAAACAACATTAATAGAACTAAAATATATTTTATGGCTTCTGCTGAAATTGAAAAGTTGTCCCTTCATTATAAGTTAAACGAAAAATGGAAGGAAGTGAAGAGTATACTAGGTATATCTCAGTTACATTCATTTATTTGCGATGGCCCTCAGGTAAAAGGAGCTAGGACTGCATATTCCATTAAAAAAATATATATGTGGCATAAGTAATGCTATTAAGTAAAGTTAAGTTAGTTTCTCTTATTCTTATATATGTAGATGAATACACATTTTTGTTTTTCTTTATTGAAGAAAATTTGTTATAATTTTTATTTTGGAAAACAAAAATATGTATATAACAATCATTTATAATCATCTTATGTATTTCTAATTCCTTTTCCTTCATCTTATGTATTTCTAATTGCATAGAAAGTAAAAAAAAAAACATAAAAAGTATGATGGAAGAAAATGTCGCGTGCGAAAGTGATTGAAATTAAATAATAATTAAACTACATAATATGTTTGAATCAAATAAAAAGCATTATTAAGATACATCAATGTATAACATCTTAAAATATTCCTTCAGGTTTCGCTGAAATCGGTGTTTGAACTGTTCGCCGAGAAAGCAACTTCTATATATGTTTTTTTAAATTATCTGGAAAACTAACCGATCCCCAAAATCCACCTTAGCACCAATAATAGAGCTAGTCAAGAGCTAAAACTTTCTCCTTTTGAGAAAACAAAATTATGTTTTGACATATTTTTTTTTACTTAGAATGCGTACGAATGTCGCATTCGACATTAGAGACATGCCCATATATATTCTTGATCAGGGGGACAAGCCGAGTCGATTTAGGCATGTCCGTCTGTCTGTCTGTCCGTCTGTCTATATGAGCGCAAGGATCTCAGTAAGTACAAGAGCTAGGATAACCAAAAATGGTATCAAGGTTCCTATAAGCCCTAGGCAGAACGATTTTGTTTATTTTTTCTGATACACCCCCCCACTCCCCCGCAATTCGTATTTTTTCTTATAACTTCCGTAATTCTTGGAATATTGAAATCAGATTTGGTAGTTACGTCCAGTTAGTGCTTATGTGTCCGTATGCCAAGTTTCATCATGATAGGTCTATTCTGAAGAAAGTTATTGCCATAAATAAAATGGCTGCCCATGCTCTGCTTGCAGGGCTGCCCGCAGC